TACGTCAGGAAAGGGGCCATGAAACATGGGAAGCCCTGGCCGTGAGATCTCCCCCCCACCTAGCCATGCCCCCCCCCCCTCTTGGCCGCCTCCGTCTCTCTAGAGGCCCCCACACGCCCACCCGCGGCGTGGAGCGCCCCAATTGGGCGGTGCCAGAGGTGCCGCCAGGGGTGCGCCGAGCAGGGCCGCAGCGGCGACCCAACGACTCCGCGCAGCGGACTCCGAGCTCCGGCGCCGTGACGAGGAGGCCGCGACAGCGCCAGCGATCACGGCCGGAGCCCTGGGCCCCAGCTCTCGGAGGGGTGCTAGGGGTGCCCTGGGCCCACGGGTGCCCCCAGTTCGCTCGTCCCTCCATCTTGGAGCCCCCTGGGGCCCTCTGGGCCTCGTGAGGGGGTGCTCTGGAGGCCGTGGGGGCCTCCCGGGAACTCCTGGGGGCACCTCGGGCCAGGGGCGCTTCTGTAGCGAGGGCGTAAGACGACCCAGGACAAAGGTAGACCCAGGTGATGATAAATCGAGAGTCTCTGAGGTCCGGCGGCTCGGGAGGATGTCTCGGGCGCCGCGGCCGTCCCAGAGCGTTCAGGAACGCTCTGGGACAGATTTATCCTCGCCCTAGCACCGTCCGCTGGACCCCATTCTGGGCCCCATCTCTCGGGGGTTGCTAGAGTGCCCGTGGCCCAAGTTGCCCCCACCTTGTCGCTCCACCTTGCAGCCCCTGGGGCCCTCTGGGCCTCGTGATGGGGTGCTCTGGAGGCCGTGGGGGCCTCCCTGGAAAATCTTGGGGCACCTTGGGCCGGGGGCACTTCTAGCGCAACCGACCTCTCTCTCTGCTGCAGTCCTCGGGCCGGATCCTTCGGTAAGGCCCCCTGCTGGGCCCAAAGAAGTGCGAGAGGGCGCCCAGCGTGAACACGGTGGTGTGCGACACCCTGATTCCAGCGGGCCTCCGAGACTGTGCAGTGGTCGTGCTCTGACCCTCCTCGAAGTCGAACGCAAGTGCTTCATGTGGGTCGACGCGCGAAGCGCGGCCCACGGGGGCAGACTTCTGTGTTTGCGGTCGCCACTTCAGGTATGAACATGGGCATGCTTGGGGTCCTGGGGCGCCACCACGTCGCGGGAAAGACTTGCTTTTCATTTTGAGCAGTGGAGGCCTGGAAATGGGCACCAACACCAACACAAGGGGCTGCCCCCACAGGAGGAAGACGATCCTAGACTTTGGTGCTGGCGGTACTCTTCCGGCCCGCTAGCAAGGCCCGAAGAGATTACCACCATCACCGAGATCGGGGGCATCTGCCTCGGTGAAGGCACACCGCCGATCCTGGTGTTGGTGTCAACCTCTATGAGGGATGCAAAAAACGACCCTACCCTGGGCTACGAGTGCGTGGTCTGCAAACCTCTGGGGAACCCCCAAAGCCCAGAGCCGCCAGGACTCGGCACGTCACGCAGGGCTTACCCTGTCAGCCCACAGGAGTTTCAGCGCACAGCGCCTCGTAAACCAGGGTAGGCCTCCGAGAGGAGGCAGGCCGCCCGAGGCGCGCCGAGCCAAGGAAGGCCGGGGCGCGCCTCGGGCCGCGGCGCGCCGCGGACACGCAGACGCTCTCTATAAGCTACGACCCGGCCCTCTGGGGAGCGGCACGGGGCGGCACGGGGCCCCGCCCACGAGCCCAGAAGTGGCCCCAGGCACCCACGCATGACTGAAGGGGCCCCAGGACACACAAATAAATATTCACAAATAAGAAGATGCCCCATATTTTCCTCTCTCTCTATATATGTGTATATATATATATATATATATATATATATATATTGGGGTTCTTGTCTTCCCCCCCCCATTCCCCATATGTTTGCATATTTTCCTGGGAATTGACGATTGATTGTGTCTTTGTGTCTTTTTTCATCCTGAATGACTTGAAGAATGACATGACCATAAAACCCTGGAGGTCCGTGCCCAGCGCCGATCCGAAAAATCCGCGCGGACCTCCGAGTGTTTATGGTTATGTCGTTATTCGTTCCCCTACTTTGGGTTGCGCATGCCATGACAATGGACACTCTAACAATGTTATCATTGAATTAAAGGTGCGTTTAAAATGTGTCAAACAAGTTCTGAAAACGTTTCAAGCATTTTTTACATATCTAAAACCAGTCTCAGATATCTGGAAATTGTTTGGCAGCACCCTTCCTCTCCATTTGATCGCCCTCCACAAACTCTGGGGCACGGCCGGGGGCAGTGGCCTGCCCCATGCCCCTCCTCGGCCTCCCCGGGAGGGCAGGAGACCACGTCGGGCACACGATCTCGTCCCGCCCGTCCGCCCCGGACCCCGCCGCGGCTTTCTGAGAACCTGTTGCGGCGGAAGGTCCGGGAAACCCTCGCCGTCGGGCACCTGGGCCAGCCTCCTGGCCCCCGCCCCTCCTGCCAGCGTTCCGGTCCCTCCCATTACAGGGCAGTCTTGAACACATCGGATTTTCAAACATATCGGATGTTATACATGATTGATGTATGCATACA